CCCATTGGCCAGGGGATCCCCCACCCCCTCCATTGGCCAGGGCAGCCGGGGGATCCTGCGGCCCCCCCATTGGCCAGGGGATCCCGGCCCCCATTGGCCAGGGGAGCCCCCAGCCCCCACCCCCATTGGCCAGGGCGACCAGGGGATTCCCCCGCATTGGCCAGCACTTTCCGACCATGCCCCCTACGGGGCCGGCGGGGCGCTGAGAGCCCCAGGCCGCGGGGGCGGCGCTCACCTGTCCCGGGGGGGCAGCGAGGAGGGGAGCGCCTCACCCGGACGCTAACGACAGACGCACCGTACGTCACATCCGCCCCACTACGGAGCGCCGTGGAGGACAACCCTGTCGCCCCGCCCCCAGCGCCTCGCCCCCACCCTCGGATTGGCCCCCGCGGCCCCGCCCGCAGGCCCCGGTTGGCCGCCGGAGCCGCCAGTTCCGAGGTAGTGACCCAGGCGGCGGCGGCCCGGCCTGGCGCTGGGAGGGGGCGGCTGGGGCCGGTTACCGGGGAGACCGGGCAGGTGAGGGGGGGGCTGCGTCCGCCCGCCCAGAACCCAGGAGTCCGGCCGGGCCCGAGCCCCCAGGGGCGGCCCCGGTCCGGTCCGGCGCCCCCCGCCCTGACCCGCCTCTCCCCCGCAGGGCCCCGCGCTCCCGGCGCCATGGCGCACTTCGACACGCAGTACCAGCGCCTGGAGGCCTCCTACAGCGACTCGCCCCCGGGGGAGGAGGATCTGCTGGTGCACGTCCCCGAGGGCAGCAAATGTGAGCGGGGCCCGGGGGGCGAGCGGGGGGATCCCTCCCCCAAACCCTTCCCCCCATTGGCCAAGGTGGGGGGATCCCCCCTCCCCCAAACCCTTCCCCCCCCCGTTGGCCAAGGTGGGGGGATCCCCCCTCCCCCAAACCCTTCCCTCCGCCGTGGGGGGGGGGTCCTCTATGTGCCACCGGGTATTGGCCACTGCCGCAGGCCAGACACCGGGTCTGATCTGGAGCGGTGACTCCTCTTCCGTGCGCTGTGTAAACCCGGGAGCAGCCCTTTGGAGTCTGGGGAGACTGCGGGGACCCAGCCCGCTCTGTGCCCTGGGCTGTGTCACAAGGGTAACTAGCCAGCGGCAACCAACTGACCCCCTGCTGCTGGGCAAACCGCTGCGTAGCGAGCCCCACTCACCCCCTTTGCCTCCTCTCTTTCCGGCAGCTCCCTGGCATCACATAGAGAACCTGGACCTCTTCTTCTCTCGCATATCCTTGCTGCGTGCGGGGGGAGGGGAGGCGGCTGCTCCAGCCCAGCATCAGCTTGACACAGTCTGTCCGTTTGGCGCAGGTCAGAATTGAAATGGCTGGCGCAGGTCCCGTCTCATCTGGGGCTGGATTGCTTCGTGGAGTCCAAACGGGCCCAGCCATGGCGTTTCCACCCCTTCCCTTGGGAGATGGGGCTGTAGGGGGACAGAAACGGGTCCCTCCAGCCCTTTGGTGATAGTCTCCTGCCCGTTCTTTGTCACTGTGATTGCTAGGCTCTGGATATGGCTTTACCTCCCTCTGTGCTGGCCAGGTCCTGCCTTTGCAGACTTTGGAGAGGGCTCAGGGGGGTCTGTGAATGGAGAGATCACAGTCGCCTGCTGGGGTATGGTGAGGGCCAGGGTTTCTGTGACAGGCTAGCGTTACCCTCAGCCTGGGACGGGCATGGGGGCCAGGCCCCAGGAGCGTTTTGTAGCTAAGCAGAGAATGCACTTGCCTTGCAGCCATCCGTCCTGACTGGCGGCTAGGGGGTGGCTTGGCATGGGAGGGGTTTTCTCTCAGCTGGTGGAAGTGGGTCTCGGCTGGTGGCTGGAGAGGAGGGGTTGCCCGACTGTTCTCCTTGACTGCAGCTCCCACGTCTATAACCTGCATCAGAAGAACGGCTTCACCTGCATGCTGATTGGCGAGATCTTTGAGCTCATGTACGTCGTGAGTCCCCCTGCTCTGGGGGTGGGGAGGCCAGGGAGGGGGCAGGTTCTCCCCATGCTCTCACTGCCGTTGGGGTGAAGGGCCTTGGGCCCCAGTGTTCCTGCTATCCCTGCACAGCCATGGCTGAGAGTTGGGCTTCAGGGGGTGAGGTGGGAGGCGGTCAGGGCCACTCCCCTTTCAATCAGGACCTGTCTCCCTCTCTCTTTTTTGGCCATCTCCATCCCCAGCAATTTGTCTCCCTCTGCTCAGAATCTGCCCCCGTCATGCCACGGGCAGTGGGGTGTGACCCAGTAGCCACTCCTGGCTGTGGTGTGTTAGGAGTTGGGGGCAGAAGGAGCATGCCCCTCATGGCGGCTGCCTTTCCCACAGGCAGTTCATTTTCGTGGTGGCCTTCACCACCTTCCTCGTCAGCTGCGTCGACTATGACATCCTGTTTGCCAACAAGATGGTGAATCACAGCCAGCACTCCAGCGAGCTTGTCAAGGTGACGCTGCCAGATGCCTTTCTGCCTCCCAGCGTGTGCAGCGCAAGGTAAGGGCAGCAGCCACACCTCTGCCCCCAGCCCTGGCAGTCTGCCACCCTCCAAAGGCCATGTTAGTGGGAGCTCCCTCTTTGCCCGTCTCCAGACTGGAGCTAAAGATCCAGGACTCTTCCAGAAGGAGGACAGTGGGAGTGGCCGAACCTCACCCACGTGCAGTACGCAGCCCTTGCCCTCATCAGCAGTAGAGGCATGTAGCCTGCCAAGATTGCAAGTCCCTGGTTTGTCTTGGTCCGAGTGGCCAAGCTGCATTGTATTCTGGGTCATGTAATCCCCAGGGTATGTACTTGGTGCTTGATGGCAGTGTTGCTGTGTGCTGTTACACAGCTGGTGCATCCCTCCCCAGATGTGGCTACATTCTGGTGGTGGGTGAAGCGATCCCTTGACAGTGCGTATAGCTTGGGCTCCTGTGGGATGAGGCTCGGCCGTGGGGCATGCCGAAGGGCAAGTGTTGCAGCCAGTCTCTTCTCCCTTGCAGAATCCAGCAGAATGGCTTTCTCATTTCCATCCTGGTGATAGCGGGGGTTTTCTGGATCCATCGACTCATCAAATTTATCTACAACATCTGCTGCTACTGGGAGATTCACTCCTTCTACATCAACGCCCTCAAAATCCCCATGGTGAGCGACCCTGGGGCTGGAGGACTGGGCCGTTGTGGCGGAGCAGGGAGCTCCCCTTGCCTCTGCCCCCCAGCTCGGGGCTGCCTTGCTGAAGCTGTAGGAGAGGGTTTCACCGGCCCATTGCCTTCAGGGGTTCTGGTCTCTCCCTCTTTCGGACCTCCCTTGGGAGTTACATAATCCGGTGTATCTCCTTACAGCTTGTTTTCCGGCAAACCTGCCCCTGCACACTGGGTGTGTCTGGGTGTGTCGCGGGACAGCTGTGTTCTGCTGACTATCTGCCAGCCAATCGCTTTGCTTTATAACCTCTAGGCTTTTCTTTGCCATACCTACAGCAGTGTCCCAGCCTCAGAGGTGTAAAGCAGTTTATTCTCATGCCTTCCCTGGGAGGCGTGGCAGGGTCTCTATCCCCATGTACAGGTAGGGAAACTGAGGCACAGAGTAACTAGGCGTTGCCCAAGGCCATGGGGGAGGCTGGCAGAGCTGGGTTTTGAGCCCCAAGTCCCAGCCCAGGGTCTCCCTCGGGGAGAATGTGGGTAAGTCGAGTAACAGCAGGATCCTTTACATTAATTTTTTGCAAGACCATGAGCCTGTGGAATAGGGCATGAGCCTGGGGCTCGAACACCTGGGTTCTCCTCCCAGTCGGCTGCAGGCTCCCCACGGGGCACTGGGCACGTCCCATCACTTCCCTGTCTGGGAAGGGGGAAGCTGGGAAGGGCTCGGAGCGGTAATGGAGACGTCGGAGCGGTAACGGAGACATAGGAGTGCCACCCTTTGGGTGCGTGTGGCAGTGACCCGTGTAGTTCTCTAGCTCTTTCCTGCCAGCCCAGGTGGGGTGGTGAGGCTCCTGTCCCCCCCGAGGGCTGTGTTTATCCCTCACTGGGAACCCCAGAGCAGCACACAGCAAGCATCATGCTGAGCAGGGTGCAGCATTGATGTGAGGCTGGAACTCCCAGCATGCAGCATGGCCTGTGTCTGTGGAACATTGGAGCAGTGCATGCTGGGACCTGTAGTTTCTGTTGCAGCACTTGCCCGGCGGGCCCCTGTTGGTCTCCCCTAGATTCTAACACTGCCTCCTCTCCTCCCGGCCAGTCCAACCTGCCCTATTACACCTGGCAGGAGGTGCAGGCTCGCATCGTGCAGATCCAGAAGGAGCATCAGATATGCATCCACAAGAAGGAGTTGACGGAGCTGGACATCTACCACCGCATCCTGCGCTTCAAGAACTACATGGTGGCCATGGTGAACAAGTCGCTGCTGCCCATCCGCTTCCACCTGCCTGGGCTGGGCGACACTATCTTCTACACCCGCGGCCTCAAGTACAACTTCGAGCTCATCTTCTTCTGGGGGCCCGGCTCGCTCTTTGAGAACGAGTGGAGCCTCAAGGCGGAGTACAAGCGGGGCGGCAACCGCCTGGAGCTGGCCGACAAGCTGAGCGTCCGCATCCTCTGGATCGGCATCGCCAACTTCATCCTCTGCCCCCTCATCCTCATCTGGCAGATCCTCTATGCCTTCTTCAGCTACACTGAGATCCTGAAGCGGGAGCCGGGCAGCCTGGGCGCCCGCTGCTGGTCGCTCTACGGCCGCTGCTACCTGCGCCACTTCAACGAGCTGGACCACGAGCTGCACTCACGCCTCAGCAAGGGCTACAAGCCGGCCTCCAAGTACATGAACTGCTTCATCTCCCCCCTGCTCACCATCGTGGCCAAGAACGTGGCTTTCTTCGCCGGCTCCATCCTAGCCGTGCTCATCGCCCTCACCATCTACGACGAGGACGTGCTGGCCGTGGAGCACGTCCTCACCACCGTCACCCTGCTGGGCGTGGGCGTCACCATCTGCCGGTGAGACGGGCCGGGCCGGCACAGCCGTCCTGCCCTGGAGTGAAGGGGGAGGCTGCGGGTCTGTCCTTGGGCCACAAGTGAACATAGGTCTGCTTAGGGAGGCCCAGGACTGGAAATGAGGAGCAGTGGGTCAGGCCAGGAGTGAA